CCCCCCCCAACCCAGCCACCCCCCCCCCCATGGCAGATGAGATCCTGGCCCAGTTCCCACCGCTGAAGGGCCCCGAGGGGGAGAAGAAGAAGGAGAAGGTGGACGAGGCCGAAGATGGGGCGTCCCCTCCTCGGTGAGTGGCACCCATGGGGCTTGGGACTTCCCCCCAAGTGGGTGCACTCTGTTATCGGGGTGATTCCCCCCCCAGGGTGCTGTGCCCCAACGTGGGGGTCACTCCAAGGTGCTGGCACCCCAATGTGGGGTGACACCAGGGAGCTGCACCCCAATATGGGATGACACCAGGGATTTGGGATGACCAGGGATGGGGTGACCATAGGGTGCTGCACTCCAATGTGGGGTGACCATGGGGTGCTGCACCCAATATTGGGTGATCCTAGGGTGCTTCACCCCAATGGGGGGATCTCTCTAAGGAGTTGCACCCAAATATGGGGTGACCATAGGGAACTGCACCCCCCAATATGGGGTGACCCCAGGGTGCTGCACCCCAATGTGGGTTGACCGAAGGGTGCTGCACCCCAGTGTGGGTGACCGTGGGGTGCTGCACCCAATATGGGGGTCACCCCAAGGGTACTGCTCCCCATTACTTCATCCACCCACCCTGACATCACCCTGACCTCATGTCCTCCACCACCACCACCACCCTTGGGTGCAGCTCAGGACCCCCCACGCCGCCACCCATGGGTGATGCTGTTGTCCCTCCCCCCACAGCCACCACCACCAGTGCAACAGCCGGCGCCCAGCACCCTCGACTCCAGGCTGGTGCTGCTGCAGTCGGACCTGAGCCGCCGCGGGGTGCCCACGGGGTCCAAGGGGCTCTGCGGTGCCTGCCAGAAGCCCATCGCCGGGCAGGTGGGTGCTGAGTGGGGTGAAGTGACCCCAAGGGGAGGTGCACCCCTAGGTTGGGTTGCTCTAAGGGTGCTGGACCTCCATATGGGGTGACACCAGGGAGATGCAGCTCAATGTTGGGCTGCTCCAAGGGTGCTGGACCTCAATATGGGGTGACACCAGGGAGATGCATGTCAGTATGGGGTGACATCAGGGAGATGCACCTCAATGTTGGGTTACCCTGAGGGTGCTGGACCTCAATATGGGGTGACACCAGGGAGATGCATGTCAGTATGGGGTGACATCAGGGAGATGCACCTCAATGTTGGGTTACCCTGAGGGTGCTGGACCTCAATATGGGGTGACACCAGGGAGATGCATGTCAGTATGGGGTGACATCAGGGAGATGCACCTCAATGTTGGGTTACCCTGAGGGTGCTGGACCTCAATATGGGGTGACACCAGGGAGATGTTTGTCAATATGGAGTGACTCGAGGGAGCTGCACCCCAATGTTGGGTTGCTGCTAGGGTGCTGGACCTCAATATGGGGGTGACACCAGGGAGATGCACGTCAATATGGGGGTGACATCAGGGAGCTGCACCTCAATGTTGGGCTGCTCCAAGGGTGCTGGACCTCCATATGGGGTGACACCAGGGAGATGCACCTCAATGTTGGGTTACCCTGAGGGTGCTGGACCTCAATATGGGGTGACACCAGGGAGATGTTTGTCAATATGGAGTGACTCGAGGGAGCTGCACCCCAATGTTGGGTTGCTGCTAGGGTGCTGGACCTCAATATGGGGGTGACACCAGGGAGATGCACGTCAATATGGGGGTGACATCAGGGAGCTGCACCTCAATGTTGGGCTGCTCCAAGGGTGCTGGACCTCAATATGGGGTGACACGAGGGAGATGCACGTCAATATGAGGTGACTCCAGGGAGATGCACCCCAATGTTGGGTTGCTGCTAGGGTGCTGGACCTCCATATGGGGTGACACCAGGGAGATGCACTTCAATGTTGGGTTACCCTGAGGGTGCTGGACCTCAATATAGGGCAACCCTAGGGTGCTGCACCCCGATATTGGGTGAACCTAGGGTGGTGCACATCAATACGAGGTGACCCCAGGGAGATGCACCCTGATGTTGGGTGCAGGGTGCTGCACCCCATAGCTGGGACGATCCCAAGGAGCTCCACCCTCAACCCTGGGATATTAGAGGGGGTGAAGGTGGCTCTGTTGGGACACCCTGACCCCCACCCACCAGCTCTTCTCCCCCTCCCCCACCAGGTGGTGACGGCGCTGGGGTGCACGTGGCACCCCGAGCACTTCGTGTGCGCCCACTGCCAGCGGGAGCTGGGGGGCAGCACCTTCTTCGAGAAGGACGGGGCGCCCTACTGCGAGCGCGACTACTTCCAGCTCTTCGCGCCCCGCTGCGGCCAGTGCGCCCAGCCCATCCTCGACGTGAGGCTCCCCCCGCAACCATGGGTGGCTCTTGGGGGGGGGCGCTGGGGGGTGATGGAGCACCCGGGAGGTACCCGGCTCCAAATGGGGGTGTGATGTGGTCCTAGGGGTGATGGGAGATGCTCAAGGGTGATGGAGGGCACCCAAGGGTGATGTGGGATGCCCAAGGGGGCTGGGGGATGCCCAAGGATGCACTGGGGCACCCAAGGGTGATGGAGGACACCCAAGAGGGTTGTGGGATGCCCAAGGGTGCTGGGGGATGCCCAAGGGTGGCGAAGGACACTTAAGGGTGCCATGGGATACCCAAGGGTGCTGGGGAACATCCAAGAGAGCAGTGGAGGGTCATGGGACACCCAAGAGTGCCATGGGACACACAAGGGTGATGTGGGGCACCCAAGGGTGCTGGGGAACCCCCAGGACGGGTGGTGACACCCCGCCCCATGTCCCCATGCAGAAAATGGTGACAGCGCTGGACAAGAACTGGCACCCCGAGCACTTCTGCTGCGTCAAGTGTGGGCGACCCTTTGGTGAGGAAGGTGGGTGTCACCCATGTCCGCCCGTGTCCCCATGTCCCCCATGTCCATGTGTCCCTTGTGTCCCAATATCCTCCGTGTCCATGTGTCCCCACATCCCCACGTCTCGCTGTCCCCAGATTGGTCTCTCCGTCATCCCCATAGCTCCTGTGTCCCCACGTCCTCCATAACCACGTGTCCCCATGTCCCTGTGTCTCACTGGCCCTGTGCTGGTCTCACCACCATGGCCATGTCCCCTCTGTCCCCATGTCCCCCCTGTCCATGTGTCCACATGTCCCCATGTCTCACCATCTCCATACCAGTCTCACCACCATCACCATGTCCCCTCTGTCCCCATGTCCCCCCTGTCCCTGTGTCCTTATGTCTCACCATCTCCACAACAGTCTCACCATCTTGCCCATGTGCCCCGTGTCCATGTGTCCCCACATCTCTGCATCTCACCATCTCCATACCAGTCTCACCATCATCCCCTTGTTCCCTCTGTCCCCATGTCCCTCGTGTCCGTATGTCCCCATAGCTTGCTATCCCCATGCTCATCTCACCATCACCCCCATGTCTCCTCTGTCCCTATGTCCCCCGCGTCCATGTGTCCCCATGTCCCTCTGTCTCACCATCCCACTGCTGGTCTCACCACCATCCCCGTATCCCCACGTCCCCCGTGTTCCATGTCCCCTCACGTCTTGCCATCCCCATGCTGGTCTCACCGCCATCCCCATGTCCCTCCACGTCATACCATCTCCACGCGGGTCTCTCCGTGGCCGCCGGGTCCCCGCCA